AGAAGTCTATCCCCTCCCTACTTTCTCGTTATGGGGGTTAGTAACGTATGCCTTTGACTCAAAGAATTGGAAGTTAAACTTCTTGCTGACAGATTGCATCTCAGTTCTGTCAGAGGTTATTACTTCATCCGCTGTCGTTGATATCGTAATGGTCGACTCATAAGGCGTTATGGTAAAAAGATATGCAGTTGAATGACAGCGAAGAATCGCTTAGACAAGAGATCTTTAATAAGTTTGAACGGCTTGAACAATATAGGGGGCGAATACCTCCTGTCAAGAAAAGAAGGAATCGGCATGAATGTACCAGTCGAAAGATCAATGTCCTGAAGACTTTACCAACGGGTAATTTTGAATTCATTTGTTGTATAATGCAAGCAACCACTCTTGTGATAGCGAATGAATTTTATGTTAAATTGAAAGAAAATCTGTATGGCACGAAAGAATGACCGTGGTTAATGAATCTAGAACATATAGGATGAAATGCGCTGAGAGTTACACCAACTAGAACAAGTGAATATGGGCAACATGACGATGACAGCGACGAATATAACGAAAAGGTACATGATTGAACCTGATTAAACAGTCAGAGGTGCACACGAGAACGTTAGTCTGACACTATTAACTGTATCGACAGTTTCGACATATCAGAGCAGGTTCGACCTGTAAAAGACAGCAGGTCTTTCGTTCACGCTGTTAAACCCTTTTATAGACAACTGGAGGCAAATAACCGTTCTGAGATGGGGAGCCATTTGACGTTGTTTTTAACACAGAACAGCCCCTTCAGTTTTAGCGACGGATATGAGAAAATGGCATAGCCTAAAACAAAGAGGCTAATTTCTTATAGGAAATATTAACAGAGTACAAATGGAATTTTCGAACAAGGAGAAGTCACAGACACTTCATTAAAAAAATCTACTGGAGGTGTTCAGAAAGATCAAAAGTTAGCAGGCGTCAAAGCTGGGGCAGGTGCATGAGTTTTGGCTTAATCGATGAAATTCTTTTCTCTCACGAATACCTGCAGTATTCTTAAAGAGTATCTTCTTTGACGACGACCTGAAAGTTAAGGAGAACGACCACCTTCTTGGATAGCGGAAAAAGTCACGCGTGATTTAGAATAAGGCTTATGGATATTTGTCAAACTTTTGGGCAGTCGCGTGCTTTCCAATCCACGTGTCGGTGTTGTCCATTGCTTTTACGAGGATCTCGAGGTGAATAACATATTCTTTGAAGACAGAGGATGCCGGACGGAATCAAAGGGACCCATTGACCAGTTACTACCAAACAAGGCGCTAAATCGAATTGTAAAATTTCAAACACCAAAATGCCGATGGCTTGAATCGATTTTCCGAGGGCATTTGCACTAGCACCACATAGGTGAATGCTGGAATGCTAAAACCTTCGCAATTTGAAAGACAGCTAACAGAGTTGCGAGATATAGTGATGAAATACTTACGAAAAAGACTGTTATGAACGAAGTCTCACTGGAATCAGTGAACATTAATCGATGAATCTTCGAGGAAGGTTTAATATTGCCACTTTTATCTTGTCCTGCAATGAATCCGGTCAGTAAATTTCTAAATAGCAGCAGGGTATAACGCAAGCTCAAAGATTGCACCTGCCGTACATCGACAACCTGAATTTGAATGCGAGATCAGTAAAGAACTGAATGATCTGATCCAATGCTCACGAACATTTTCGCACGATGTCATGATGCAGTTCTGTTTCAATAAATGTGCTTCAGTCAGAGTTACGGAAGGAAGAGTCTCTAACAACACCAAAGTGACGGTGCGGACTTTCAATATCGACATCTTGGAAGGACAGCAATGCTGCAAATACCTCAGGATACCAAAAAGCGACAAATTTTATAATAAAAAAAACTAAAATTAACGATTAAGAGGATCTTCCGAATATGATATATAAGTTGTGGAGGAAGAATAAAATTGTTTACAATGCGGTAACAGTGCTTTCTTATACATGAGATATGTTCAAATGGACTCAAGCGGTAAGGTTGGAACTGGACAGAAAGACACAAAAGACTTAGATATGTACGAGAGGATACACTGAAAAGCAGATACGAACAGACTAGATTTAGCTCCCGCCGAAAGAACAAAGAGGGCTTCGTAGTATCTAAGATAAACTGAGACCAAAAGCTCATCCCTAAAAGAATATGGGGCTCTCTGCGTGAACAACAGGGTGGAGACTGGTGTGCAAATTAACGGGCTATGTAAACTAAAGCTGGAAGCAATCGATTATGCAAAAATTCGTCATGAAAATGTAGACTACTCCTAATGCAATGCTCTGAAGGATACGGTTCTTCGTAGATAGTATCTTCATCATTGGGGTAAGAACATAAACATCCATCAGACTTTAAACTCATTATCAAGAAGTGGACTCAGTGACGAAGCGGTAGCCTTTCCAATGGCCCCCCAAAACCTACCACCGAAGGACTCACACAATGCAAAGACCCTTAACACGTAATCAGACACAAACTGCAGAACGTTTAGCTGGTAGGATGATAACGCGGCCTATGTACATTCTGGGTGCAAAACGCTCGTTAATCGGGAATACAATTAGCTGTACAACAAGACTGCAGTATCGTGCAGCCGAAAGCTATGATAGAGATTTAGCACGTTGTAATGCTCTGGAACATCGCATACCTTTGAAAGAAGTATTCTTTCAACGTTCACATGTCGCACTAGTGGACATTCGTATTTCAACAAGCCGTTCAGAATCGAGTCCTTCAAATGATGCTTCTTTTTAAGACTGTTTTTGGATTATTTGAATAGTATCTCGCAGATCGATGCACAAATCATTAATATAGGAAAATAAGCGTTTTTGTCAGTTAAGTGGAAGAGATTGAAATGTTTTGTTTTGACTGTGAAATTTGAATGATATAGAGAGTAAGAAAAGCATTATATCCAGTGATGGTTTGCTGGGAGAAGACTCCATCATCGCATTCAAAATTGCACTGATTAAACGATCGAAAACGACTGTCTTAAGGGACCGAGGCTGATAATAGCAGTCCTGCATTTAGTTAGCATTCAAACGTCCAAACTCAGTGCAGGTCCTAGAGTATCGGATATTTGGAGCAATATTGAGCTAAAGAAGTAGTACAGTAGTAGAGTGTCTCTTTAGCCTTAGCACAGAGTTGGGCGTAGCTGGACGAACATGCCACTTATGTTGTCTTTTTTGGAGTGAAAGCAAAAATTGAAATATTTAATAATACTGTACTCTCAGCAGCACGGCAATGTATTTTCAATTGAAAATGTTACTTTTTATGATATTGCATGTTGATTTTTCGATACTATGTTTAAATTTGAACGATTTCAAGAAGTTCATGAAGTTTATGAAGTTGTATCTGAACATTTTTCATTAATTAAATTTCTTTTAATTTGAAAGGATTGTGGCACAGCGCTTAGAGAGGGAAAGACACGGGAAAATTGATAAACGATGTACTGAACAGGCCAAGAACATAAATACAACAAAGAATGACAGAATTAATATGCAAATTTATTGCAAGTCAGACATATCAGCATATGAACAAATCAGTTTAAAATGCAAATGTTTTGACATGGAGAGTTATTATTAAATATAGCAAGTGATCACCTCGTATGTTTGTCAGCTTTAAGATCTGGTGACGGGTACCCTTCATAGACATCATGAGAGATATCATACTGTAAGTGAATGTTTATTGTGAATATTTGCCTTGAAAGATGCATCAGAAATAGCTGCATTTGTTTGACTGCAGTCCGGGCCGTTCATATCGAGATCACGTAGTGTCAAAAGTAGTGGTAGGAACTACTTTCAGACTGTATTTGAATGCAAGATGAGCATGGAAGGTACTGATGATCCGCACGTGTGCACATCCCCATGCAAATACGTATTTTCTGATAGTAGGACGTCTGTAAAGGTGTTTGAGTCACTCAGCAAAGACCATAGCTTAATAGGGTATCTCTTGTACATCGGTCATAGTTAACCTTCTTCTTGATATATGTTAGCTCGATTTCGATTGTAAACTTTTTAAGGAACTTTGCGAAGCCAATGGCCATACAGGACCGGAAACTAGAATCTCATTACGTTCATTTGTACAAGGTATGTGTGATATTAAATGTTGATATGAGAATTTCAGTATGTGCAGGCTTTGGAACAGGAATGCCAAAATTCGACTCGACAGCATCTTGAGCCTCTTCTTGGGCCTTATCACTACAGTTCTCATTATTCGAACAGCGGGGTCGTGCTGCATTACCTTGTTCGACTACCGCCATACACCATGATGTTTCTACGGTATCAAGGTATAAGTGTATGAACGCCTATGGCGTCCCCTACATGCCACGTGTTTTATACGTTTGTTTTGTAGACAACAGCTTTGACATTCCAGACAGAATGTTTCACAGCATAGAAACGGCATGGCGAATGGCCAGCTGTGATTCGTTGTCTGACTTCAAAGAGCTGATCCCTGAGTTCTTTTTCTTGCCAGAGTTCCTTCGCAATTTCATGCGTAATATTTAGTCTTTACTCGTTTGTTTGCTTGCAGGGTCTTGTTTTGTAGACCTGAAGCTGGGACATCGACAGAACGGTGAAGTCGTTGACAGCGTCATATTACCTAATTGGTGTCCAAAAAATGATCCCCGTTATTTTGTCCTCATCAACAGACAGGCACTTGAGAGTGCTTTCGTCAGCCGCCACCTGAACCTGTGGATCGACCTGATATTCGGTTACAAACAGGTTGGTGAAGAAGCGATCAACGCCATTAACGTATTTCATCCAGCGACATACCGCGAAACGCTTGTTCGCGCCGCCAGCTGCGACGAACTGCAGTTGAACGCTCTCAAGACTATGGTCAAAATGTACGGCCAAATGCCGCAGCAACTGTTCAAGGTACCACACCCTCAACGTACTTTCAGCCCTGACCATTACGTTCGAACGTCATCA